AGCAGTCCCCGAGCCCCGAGCAGTCTCCCCGCGACCGACCGACCGAACTAACCGCCCCCCCCCACGCATGACGTTATATGGTATGGAATAGCTCTTTGGTCAGTTTGGGTTAGCTGTGCTAGCTGTGCTGTACTCCCAGCTTGTTATGCACCTGGGCAAGCAGGAGAAGCTCAAAAAGTCCTTGAGTAGTCTGAGCACTACTTGGCAACAGCTGAAAACATCAGTGTGTTATCAACATTCTTCTGGTACTAAATCCAAAACACAGCACTATGCTAGCTACTATGAAGAAAATTAACTTTATCCCAGCCAAAACCAGGACAGTATCCACCCCTTATTCTATACCATTTATGTCATGCTTAGGTACTACCCTTACAATACATTCCAGTTAAACACCACCACCTTCCCATTTTTTAAAAAATATATACACAGATAGCATTCCCTTAGTCTATGGACCATCTTTCTAAAATGTCCATTGGGTTCATTTAGTCCACAGTTTTGGGCTCCATCTGTCATAACAATCTTTCAGGGCAGGAGAGATGGGGTCTGGTGTTGGGTTGTTGCATGCTGGAGTCAGTTCTGGTTCCATCCGCTGCACTTGCTCAGTTTCTTCGAAATTCATTCTTCTTAATCTGGGCGATTCTTACTGCTATACCATTGATAGGACATACAGCAATAGTAAAAATGATGACATACTGTATTATACAGCAATTAACATCATACAATTCAGTTCATTGTCTGTTTTCACCCAAAATCAAATCCCTTTGAGGTACACATCGGACTTCCCCATCCTTCCGCATCACCCACCAAGTAGAACCAGGTCCTTGAGCAAAAGCAATCCCACGGATGGGTTTGCCTTTACCTGAGGCAGCAGTAACCCAGACTGTCTTCCCCAGCATATTTTTTACATGCACTACAGGGACTTTATCCCCTTCTACAGTACGTAAGAGGTTTGATTGGGCAGGGCCAGCTCGGTTGGCAGATCCTCTAGTGTTGACTAACCAGGTAGCTTTTGCTAAATGTGTATCCCAATGTTTGAATGTTC